CCTTAAATTATGGACATGATCCTCAGCTGCAAAACCGCTGAGGATGGTGGTTCGGTAAAACCATCGAAACTAGTCCTGTGAAAATTTCGTAAATATAACTCTGATTTTTGTTATTTGACTTCTGAATTAGTATTTATTCGCCGTGTTATTGTGTCTCAATTGAGGAGCTAAGCTTTTGAGAACTAATTTTTTAAAAACTACTCATGCGATTTTTATAACACTTAGTAGCTTGGTATAATTTGATCCGTTGAATCGAAATATTGAGGAAAAGTGGCATGTCATTTCAGAAAAATTTTGTGTCAAAATACCTATATTAGAATAATGCTATATATAAATCTAAAACATCCTAAATCGCGCTTTCGAGACATGAAAAATGCATGTTGATTTTGTCAATCGGCCCAGTAGAAGGGAAGATATAGAACTGTCTTTTTTTGGGGGGGGAGGGGGCGCCCTGTACTTACTTCATGGAAAGAGTTCTTTTCGTATAATGTTTCAATCTATTTGTGTTTCACAATCCTTTTTACAAAAAGAAAGAGTCTTTTATTATTGCCGTAAGTATGAATAACACTCAAAAAATCTTCGAAATGGTTTCCGGAATATTCGAAAGGGATATTTCAGCTAAAATATAATACCCGAAAGTTTTCACAATTAAAATACTTCATTTAATTTGTAATTAATTTTACTCTCATGGTTTTACTTCAATGTAGTAAAACCATGAGAGTAAAATTAATTATTTTCATTTATTAAATAGAAATATTCAAAATTATTACCGTCTTTTTAATATTTATTTAAAACCGATCATCCCAATAGAAAGATAAATGTAGTTATGCACTTGTCAAACTAGGAAAATAAATAGTCATAAAAAACGGAAACTTATCGAGATTCGAGCCCTTTCGAGATATTTGTCATCTCGAAACAAAAACATAAACTAGATATATCTTGAAATGCGTGAGAAATCTCAGTGGAGAACTTCATACCTATAAAAATAAACCAAGATAAATAAAAGCTTACTTTTAAATTATACCACATATCAAGTTTTATTTGATTTTAGTTTGTGATTTAATTTTTACTTACTGAATGATAAAGAAATGCCTTTTGGTTTTTAACTCAGCGTCAGCCCTTTATACTGTTCAGCTCAGCATTTATTACAACCAGAAATAGTTCACCATCTGTTGTACCTCCTAACTAACACCTGATAATAAATAATAATTGATAAAGAAGAGGTTTATAAACCCGACAGGTTCCTTAGTAAGGTTACATTTCAGATTTCGTGTCTTGAAAACGTAAGTACACTCTTTCATCATTAATATGTGCAGAAGTATATCAATTTAATGAATTGTGTTATTCGTGATCCAATATAATACTTTATAAATCAAGAAATTAATTTTTAAAATTAATGAATTATAATTCCTATTACATATAAGTCCCATCTGTTTAATAGATATACTGTGTTATAGACGAAACTTATCAATGAAGTATAATATCTATATGTATAATTAATTGAAAGAAAATGTAAACATTTATGGATAAAAATGGTCAATGTTTATACGTACATTTAATTAATACACAATAACACGCCTAATAAGTACTAATTCAGAAGTCAAACAACAAAAATCAGCGTTATATTTACAAAATTCTTCACAGGACTAGTTTCGATGGTTTTACCGAACCACCATCCTCAGCTGCAAAACCGCAAATGAACAAGATGAGAAATAATGATTAGATAAGATAAGAAAGGCCTGGACAATAATAAGCAAGTGGCGCCATCTGTTGGCGAAACCAGAACTAAAACATAATTTCTTTAAAGGCCGAAGGCAAATTTGGATTGGAATTAGGATCGTTAACTAGAACAGAAAGATTTTTATGAATGTGAAATGCCTCTATAAAATCCAGTTCTCCAATGGAAGATGTTTTTTGAATAATTTTGGCAGCAGAAAAGTTGAAAGTGTGATTTTCGGACCAACAATGTTGAGCAACAGAAGACTTCTGGGTTTCCTTTTTTATAACATATGCCTCATGTTCCTTGACGCGAAATTTTAAGGCTCTCTTAGTTTTGCCAATGTAAATTAAACCGCACTGGCAAGGAATCCTATAAATACCCCAGGAATTCATATCCGGAATGGGGGTCCTTGAGTATAGAAGTTGGAATTTTATTGATGGGAGAGTAAACAACCCGAAAGTTAAATTTCTGCAAAATATGTGCAACTTTATAGCTAATCGATGGAAAGAAGGGAATGACAACAGAATTTTTATAATCTCCTAAAATAAGAGTGTGGCTTTTAGTGTGTTGAGATGAGAATTTTTTAACTGCTTGATTAATAATGTTGGGTGAAAAGCCCCTGTCAATAGCTATTGCTTTTAAATAATTTAGTTCTTCATCAAGGGCTAGTTTGGAGGAGCAAACTTGAAGAGCACGGAAAACATAGGAATAAAATGAAGCTAACTTTTGTTTAGTCGGATGAGTCCCCTTAAACGCACATTTCCATTACCGTAACTTCTCTCTTTAGGAACAAATAGCTTTTGGTTTTATAACGTAGGCATCAGAAAAAAAAACCATGCTTATTATTAGGAATGGTAATTTGCTTGCATTGAATAAATGATTCATTATTTTTTAAGAATCGTTTAATAATTCCCTTTTAGATATTACGACTGTCATTTTCACTTTCGAAAACAAAAGCAAATTCTAGGCTTTTTATTTGTATGGGACTTTGTTATAGATAGAAAGAGGGTTAATTAAAATAAAAATGATAAATTTTGCACATTCAAATAGAAGAATGGAAATTAAAACCTACCTTCTGAATGCTTACATAAATTCTGCACAAATTAAAATTATCTGATGAGCAATTGTTAATTTATTTAAACAGTAGTAATTACGGAAGACAAATCCTCTCTGTTTAAGAAATGACGTGTTTCAGGAACAGAAAATGTCATGCTTAACCAGTTTTGTTTTATGAGTGTAAAACTACACATTTCTAACAAAAACATGAGGAAACAATTTTTTTATGGTTTGCCTATAGGTAAGTGTCATAGAGGTTTGAAAATTTCGTTTAGAACTATGGGAAAATCTAAATTGTTTTGTTAGAATACACGCTGTCATTTAGGGCAATAATTATTCAACTGTCATTTTAAATAATTAATTTAATTTTGCAAATCCAAGTATGATGCACTGACATTATATTGAGAAAACGTATACGCATTTAAATGAGGAGCAGTAATTCTAAATCTTATGTAAAATTATTTTCAAATTACAGATCTAAGAACAGTTCAGGAATTAATTTTCCCTGTATCGTCTAATTACGATATATATTAGTATCAACATGTATAAAATTAAAGTTTAAATTAAATATTATTTTGTACGCTGTCACGAATCTTTATATTCTAATTTAAAACGAGTAAAATTATCAATGTTTTATCCTTTGCGGCACAGTGTGTCCGGTTTGGACACACATAAAAATTTCCTTCTGTACAGAAACTTTGAGTGAAAAAGGATTTATAGGATACTATACGTTACTCTGAACTTCTTTATTTATAGTAGATTGCAGCTCAACACAAACCAGTCCATATATTTTAGCCATGTTTAGTTTTTTAAGACCCTCATTTTTCAAAGAAATTTTCCAGATTTTTCTAGGGTATAAAAGGAATTGTTTGAAAAGAAATAAATATGTTATTTTTTGGCTGTATGCTAATGTTTTATTCTATATTAATTTTAAATTTTTACCTTGAAATCTTGCCTAAAATCAAACAGCGAACCCTAGGTGTGCCCAGACCGGGCTCACCGATAATCTAGGACAACTGAGAGTCTGTATTCTTTGTTTCTCCGCAGCTCATCGGTCAGTTCATTGACAAAAATGCTCTTTTCAGCACTCTTTTCGAAGCTATTCGCTATCTGCGAGAATCAAGCAACGGCGTAAACAGAAATGCTTATCGTAGAATAACAGTTAGTAACACGGCGTGCAATTGGTAGAACACGATTTGACTGAACAAATCTCAAACCCTCACTCAAATATATGCTAACTAATTATGATACAATTACACACCGAACAAGTACTAATTTAGAAGTAAAACAACACAAATCAGCGTTATATTTTCAAATTTTCAAAGAACTAGTTTCGATGGTTTTACCGAACCATCATCCTCAGCTGCAAAATGCATTTTGCTCTTTTGAAGCTGAGGCTGATGGCCATGTGAAAATATAACGCTGATTTTTGTTGTTTGACTTCTAAATTAGTACAAGCTAGCTTAATGCATTCTCGCAGGAAACCCGGCAGAGAGAAATGATGGAACATAAAGTGATTGGTTTATTAACATGCTACAAGTTCTTTACAACGGGCCGAATGAAGCAAATTGTTTGTTTGAATACAGAATTACCAAATTTTTCACATAAAATATAAGTCGATAAGTGCATCAGAATTCAGGTATATTATCGTTTTGCAGCATGCAGCATTTTTCAAAGGAATTTATATCACTGCTATATGCTAAATTAATTTTTCTGAATAATATAAAATTATTTAAACTATCATTTTTAACCTGAACTATTGCATTCTCATCAGTATTGTACAACCCATTTAGGAAAATGAAGGTCTTTTTGCTCCTCCTTTTGGTCGCTGCGGTTTCCGAAGCTAGGGTCTGCGTACTGACGTGCAACAGCAAAGTATGCCTTCTTCAGTGTCGAACTCCTGAGCTCGAGTAAGTAAAATTAAGCTTATAATAAATAAGACATTTTTATAACAGTTTTTCAAATTCGTTTTAAGATGCTGATTTTTTTAATACATTGGTCACACAGGCTATTTCTTCAAATGTCTGTAGTGTCCATTCTAAATGTCACAGGTTGGCTTGAAACATTTTATCTATGGTTTGATAATTCGAGCTGAAATGCTCAGTATTGATAAATAAGTCCTTTGATGTAGAAATGTTTGTATTTAAAAAAATACCTGTGGTTATAGATTTCCTAAATATTTTGTCTATAGATTTTACGAGTGGTCAAACTATAGTTCAGAAGCACTCTTAGTATGATATAGAATCGATGACTTCGTTTTCATGGTTAAGACATAATTTCTGTTTAAGCAGATATCCCTAGTTGTGCTTCACCATATTCTAACAACAATAACTACAGCAATTCTACTGGCAGTGGCTTTGCAGAATTTTGGCAATTCCAGTGTATGGCAAGATACCACCTGCTTTAAGTGCTCCTAATGGGAAGAGATAAAAAAATATACAGGTATCTTCTCGATCAAAAATGTAGTGTAGTTAGCCAAAGGGTCCCGTTGTTTTTGAAATTACAAGTAATAAATGTTCATGAAAGGCGCCGCCCAGTCGGTATAATATTCAGGGAAGCTGACTGCGATGCCGAAGGGCATTGGTTCGAATTCCGGAGAAGGCATGGTTGTAACTGTCCGTCTCATTCATAGGAAAGTCGATGGTGGCTCACCTATTAGGTGTCTCCATAATAAAGAGACCAACACATCCGGCCTTGTATAGATTAATGAACTGGGTTATATTTGTAATTGTTCAAAATCTGCCATTGGAAACAAAACATTTTCATGAAAGGCATTGCTTCTGACTTCCAGTTTGGTTAAAAACAGACATCTTAAATGAAGTTTCGTTTCTGCATGAGTTGCCCATGTTGATTAAAAAATTATAGATTAATGAACTGGGTTACATTTGTAATTGTTCACAATCTGCCATTGGAAACAAAAAATACCCATGAAAGGCATTGCTCTTGACTTCCAGCTTGGTTAGAAACAAACATCTTAGATGAAGTTGCAAAGTTTCGTTTCTGCATGAGTTGCCCGTGTTGATTAAACAATTATGAAATTAAATTTATGATAACTGATTTTCAGATAGAATCACTAACCAGAATAATGCTGAAAGATCCCGTTGATGTTCGTGTTGAAAGTTCCTATCAAAGATCCCGTTGAGCGGCTTTGATAATCAGAAAATGTTACTTGGATCAAAAAAATTATTAATTTTTTTAAAATTTAATAATAAGAAGCTTAGCTTAATTTCTCACCTCTACCTCCGAACGCAGACAATCAAAACGACTAATTGAACGTTAAATTGCTATTATCACTTCACTTTACCAGTCGTCGGGAGAGGCGTGAAACATATCATCTTGGGTGTGAAAAGGGAAGATTTCTGTGTTCTCATAATACGTAGTTCTAAACAGAGATAAACACATATTGTATTGAACAATGCCAGCTTTTTCAGGTGTAAATGAATTCTTAAATTTAAACTTCATCTTCCGTAATTTTTCATGTCTCATTTATAGATTAATACATCTTGGATGAATACACACCCAACTCCGTAAGAATATTAATAAATTGAAATAAAAGCTTATTTTAAACAGTTTGTACTAATCCTATATATTCAGGAATTTATTATTTACTAAAAATAACTGCTATATTTTAATATTCAAATATGTTAATAATTATTTGAACTAGTAGATTATTTCCGTAAATAATGTTAAGTGAAAATTTAAACTTACTCATTTAGCAAACGTTTAAAGAAACTAATGTAGACTAAATTCAAAATCAGTTCTGTGAAGTAAATCTTTAGTTTATGTTGTAATTGAAACCTGAAGCCTTATCAGGAATAAGCTTGATTTTGTATAAAATACAAACACAATACTTATACAAATGCAAATAAAAGGAAATTTTAAAATAATTTCTTTTCTTTACCGAATTTGTTATCTAAATCACGATTTTTCTTTTCTTTTTAGAAGTTACTCGGTTCCATATGATGTATTTAAGTAAGTAAAATATTATTTTAATCAACTTAAGTATTTGCAAAGAAATTTAAAATAACACTCTTAAATATGCTTTGAGATCTTGTTATATGAAGGGAAAATGACACCAGAAGTTGGCGTTATTCACATAAATGCAATTATATTTAAAACTTTAAATCTTTTGAAATCTTTTTATTGAATTTACAGTTTATGCATTTAATTTCTTATTGTGAGAAATATACAGGTCCATCTGATGCATTGAGGTGTATTCTGAATCATTTAATTTTAAAAATGTACAATTTCGCAACCGTACGAATTCATTATTTATAGAAAATGATGGTTCAGTTGTAACTTTGGAAACTCATTCCCTAATTATAATTGTTTAGAAAAGATCGCTCTCAGATTTTATAAAAGAAATTCGACATGAAAAACGAACTTCAATTAAGATTGATTTAAGTTAATTTTTAATTGAAAACACCGTTTTGTTACTTTGATTTCGACTTCATTTTAAGTGCAAATTTTTTATCAGAGAAATCAATTTGATCCGTTTGATTTGATTTTTGTATGTTTATATTTGCTTCTCAAATTATTGCTTAGGCATTGGAAGTACTTAAAATACTGTTCAAATAATTGCAATGACGGATATTTATGATGGATTTCGCACTGTACTGCATGAAGAATCGCTCTCAATTACTTCTTACTAGCGGTTTCCCTCATGTTAAAACCTTTTTTGTGTATTGTTCCCATCGACATTTTTTTCTGACAAAATTATTATCTTTTTTAGTATAAGAGTAATAATTTTTATCTATTTTGCGCATTTAAATAAATTAAGCAAGTTCTGAACCTATAAATTTCAAGGTTATTATCATTAAGCAGAGAAGCAATGGCAAACGGAATCTAAAAAACAATTAAAAGTCTTTTACTAAAATAAATACATAATATTAAAAAAAATATGGGCTGTGTTGAGCAGTTTTATTACTTCCTTATTTTATATGACTAAAATGCCGTAGCATGACAGTTTTATTTGAAACGTAATTGAAATGGGTTGTCTGCTAACGCAAGTACATATAATTGCATTATTCCGTTTTACTGAAATAAGAGTACTTTGGATTTTGTACTAACAGAAAATAAAAAATTATTTTATTCGTTTCTATATTATAATCAGCAGTGGAATAAAATAGGAGAAGAAAACGGAATTCATTCCTATATTTCTTTATAATAATTTGTAATGTTAGAAGGACAATTGTTATTACAATGAACTTTGACTATCTTAAATACAAGGCTGAGTTTAGATTGTTATCATTCGGATGCCAATAGAAAGATGTTTACTGCTAATTTATTATTTGGATTTGATAAAAAGAAATATCCTAAACTAGAAAAAAAAATCACAGTTTAAAAAAATCACAAATAGATTTTAAAAACGCATAATTTAATTCTTGAAGCCCAAAAGCTGGCTGTCCATCAAAAAATTTAATCAAACACTTTTTTTGATGAGGATTGCTTATTTGTAAATCCCTTCCGTTTCCACAATCGAATTTATGCAACAGAAGTAATTACATCAGCAAAATATGGGCACATGCACTAAAGTATCACCGAAATATTTTCAAATTACGAATAAAAATTACGAATAAAAAATTCACTCGCGATCGACAATAATTGCTTTATAATCTTAATTTTCCAATTGTAATCGTAATATGTGAATCCTAAAAGCGTCATTTGTGGGTAAAATATTAAACTATATTTATTCTTACAACACAAAGAAAAAAATCTGATACGGACACCATATGACTTCCTTATACGAGCTGCTAAATTACACACATTTTGTTTTCTCCACATCATTTAAACTTATTTCCTCGGATTTCATTATAGATAAAATTCTCATTCAAACAGTTCAGTTCAGTCGGAGCAAGTGAAAATTACAGGTTCAGGTTCAGATGGAAATGTAGTGGGACACCCAATGTTTACTATAAGTAATGTACGTATAGTCCCACTACACTTCGGTTTATTTTTAAAGTAATATTCAAAATAGTACATAGTATAATATAACACATAATATAACATAATATAGCAGTATAAATAGTATGTCGATATTTTGCTTGATATATCTATTAGATATAATTATAGTAGTTATAATAGGTATAATAGCTATTTAATTACAAGCTATAATTCTATGCTTTTCTGAACGTTTATGCATTGCTTTTTTCACTATAGGAACATCTTTACTGTACCATATGAAGAAGAAACGTAAGTCATATATTACTTAAGAAATTAGTTAATTTAATTAAAACTTGTAGTTATGCGCTTTGCATGGCTTTAACGCTCATGCATTATTTATTTCTATGTAGGAGTACCTATACTGTACCGCAAAAACCAGAAACGTTAGTCATATATCATTAAAAAGTTAATTGATTAAAATTTGTACTTCTGTGTTTTTCATGGCTTTAACACTCATGCATTATTTCTTTCACTGTAAGAGCACCTTTACTATACCGCATGAGGCAGAAATTTAAATTAAATATTATTTAAAAGAGTTAATTAATTTAATTAATACTTGTAGTTCTGTGCTTATCATGACTTTAACGCTCATGTATTATTTCTTCCACTGTAGAAGTACCTATAGTGTACCGCATAAAGCAGAAACGTAAGTCACATACCATTTAAAAAAATTAATTAATTTAATTAAAACTTGTAGTTCTGCGATTTGCATGGCTTTAACGCTCATGCTTTATTTCTTTCACAGTAGGAGCACCTTTACTGTGCCGCATGAAGGAGAAACGTAAGTCACATATCATTTAAAAAATTAATTCATTTAACTAAAATTTGTAGTTCTACACTTTGAATGTACTCCTACAGTGAAAGAAATAATGCTCATGCATTATTTCTTTCACTGTAGGAGTACCTATAGTGTACCGCATAAAGCAGAAACGTAAGTCACATATCATTTAAAAGATTTAATTCATTTAATTAATACTTGTAGTTCTGTACTTATCATGACTTAAACGCTCCTGCATTATTTCTTTCACAGTAGGAGCACTTTTAGTGTACCTCATAAAGCAGAAACGTAAGTCACATATCATTTAAAAAAATTAATTAGTTTAATTAAAACTTGTAGTTCTGCGATTTGCATGATTTTAACGCTCATGTATTATCTCTTTCACTGTAGAAGTACCTACAGTGTACCGCATAAAGCAGAAACGTAAGTCACATATAATTTAAAAGATTAAATTCATTTAATTAATACTTGTATTTCTGTACTTATCATGACTTTAACGCTCATGCACTATTTCTTTCACAGTAGAAGCACCTTTAGTGTACCTCATAAAGCAGAAACGTAAGTCACATATCATTTAAAAAAAATAATTAATTTAATTCAAACTTGTAGTTCTGCGATGTGCATGATTTTAACGCTCATGTATTATTTCTTCCTCAGTAGAAGCACCTTTACTGTACCTCATGAGGCAGAAACGTAAGTCACATATCATTTAAAAAATTAATTGATTTAATTCAAACTTGTAGTTCTGCACTTCTCATGGCTTTAATACTCATGTATTATTCCTTTCAATGCAGGAGTACTTATAGTAAATCGAATAAAGCAGAAACGTTAGTCATATATCATTAAAAAAGTTAGTTAATTAAAATTTGTAATTCTGTGCTTTTGATGTCTTTAACGCTCATGTATTATTTCTTTCACTGTAGGAGCACATTTACTTACCGCATAAAGCAGAAATGTTAGTTACATATCATTTAAAAAAATAGTTTATTTGATTACAAGTTGTAGTTCTGTGCTTTTCATGGCTTTTTAATCCTTTTTTATTACTTCTTTCACTCTAGGAGTACTCACACCCTACCGCATGAAGCAGAAAGGTAAGTCTATATCATTTAAAAAAATATTTTATAATTCAGAAATGTATAAGTTTACTTTTTATAGCGATTAGTATTCTTATGTAATTAAACTTTTTAGATATATTTTTTACAGAAATATATCTTTTTAAATATGTGAAACAAGCATTTATCAACATAAATGAACGTTTAATTTAAATTATTTGCTCTTGCATTTTAACTGTCATTATTTATTAGAGGCACATTTGCACAGTTCCATATGAAGGTATACTATGTAATATATTATTTGAAAAAAGTATTTCTTAATAAAATGTTGAATTTATAATTTATGGAAACAGAAAATTGTTTAAATGCAAAATAAATTTAAAATCAACAAATCCAACAATTCTATTCATTTAATTTCGACATATTTTCACTACAAAGAATGTGTCGCAGATAGTTGTTAGTGACTCTGACTGCCGGACCCAAATGCCCGGGTACGAATCACAGCAAAGGCATGGATGTTTTGAAGTGTATAGTATCTGCGCGGCATGCGGGGATTCTAAATATATTGTGAGCGGAATGTCCTCTAAAAAGATCGATTGTAGGAAAAGATGTAGGAGATCCTCGGACCTGTCCTCTTGGAGTGCCTTCCTTCAAAATACAGGGCGGAATTGAACAACGTCGTACTGTCAACGACCCAATCTTGCCTCCTTACCCCGATGAACTTCATGGGCTTGCAATGATATCAGAAAAGCGAGAATAAACAGAACAACAACAGCATAAAGAGTGTACAATTGTAACAGCGTTGTCACCACCTGCAACCTAATAAAGGTTAATCCTTTTCTTTTTTGTAATAACGGCTTATTTTTGCAAATTATTTCATCCTTGATTACAATTCGCCGTTAAGAAAAGTGAAAGCAATAGCAAGTGAATTTCTTTGCTTATTTTCCCTTGATGAAGTATTCGTGTGAGTCTTGTAAAGAATAACCATAAAATCACTTAATTTACGCACTATGTAATATATTACTATTTTCGCTCTTAAACGCACTATGTAATATATTACTATTTTCGCACTATTTTCAGATATTTTTCGCACTATGTAATATATTACTATTTTCGCTCTTTTCGCTCTTAAGTCACTATTTCGCTCTTAAAGAGGGGAGAAAAAAGAAGCAAATTTAAAGAAATTGAATTCAGTTGTTTTTACATGATAAATAAATACTCTGAGTTTCTTGATTGTAACAATGCTTCCTATAATTGATATTAGAAAAAGGCCTCTGTCATAAAAATGCTTAAATGCTGTTTAAAGATCACAGCATATCTGACTGAAGTAAAACTAGAAATCGTACGTTCCGTGGCTAACATGAATTTCCTATTTCGAAAAGACCCGATTGCAGCTGAGTAGTAAAAACATTAAATATTGATAATTCGATCCGTCAATTAAATCCCGGAAACTGGCTAGTACTTTTTCTATTGAATATCGCTATTGATCACCATTGATTTTCTATAGAAGTTCACTGAGCACTGAATACAATAACATTTGGTATCTCTTATTACAAATTGTCCTTTTTGAAGTGTGCTCACCCAACTAGACAATAAAATACTTTTCTGTTTGCAGGAAATTTTTCACAACTCCACAGCATGCAGAGCAGTAAGTATAAAAATATTTAATGACTCCTCACGTATTTGTAATTTCTAATATTTATTCGATATGGAGTATATAACATTTGGAATTTCTTATTACAAATTGTCCGTTTTGAAGTGTACTCACCCAACTAAACAATAAAATTCTCAGTAAGTAAAAAAAATTTAATGACTCTTCACGTATTTGTAATTTCAAATATTTATCCGATATGGAGTATATATATTTCAGGCACTTTATAGTGCAATTTATAATGATAAAATTATAAACTTGATCAAATACTTACGAAGCTCAAGGATTAATAATATTAGTGAAAGCTTGTGCTTTTTGAAAGTGAAATAAAATTTCAGTTTATTTAACTTTCGAATTTTATTGGCTTCCTCTTTTTGAATTCGTCATTTAAATATTAACTTTTACTGTATAAATCACAGAAGTGTATATGAAATATTTCGATTCTTGAGCTGGTAACTTAACTACTGCATGCACATCAGAAGTTATAAATTCATTATTTATAGTAAATATTTTTTAAGGTCATATATTTATTATACTAATTATTTTAAATTCAATTCTGCAAGAAATGTGACATCTCCGGACGAAATAACTTAATGTAATCTCTAAGATAACTTAGATTTGATAAAGCATATTTTTCTCAGAAAAGTCAGAAAATTCAAAATATCAAATATTTTCAGCCTTGAAGGCGAATAAATCAGAATTAGAAACAACAATCGTTGTTATAATAAAGTGATATACTGATGTAACGCATTTTCCTCAAAATAAAATTTCAACAATGTATTTTATTGTTAAAGAACGTATATAGGATCTTAGGACCACGGTACATTCATTAAAATATAAATGAAGTGATTTTCCAGGTGTTTTTAAAGGGGTTTTAAATTTTGAAAGGATGCATTCTTACGCAGTATCTAGTTTATTGTGCAATGAAAAAATAATAAATGATTTCTTCTGTTGGAAATTTTTAATTTTAAGCTGTGCTTGCACCTTTTTTTGCAGTTTACTAATAAACCAATATTTGTCATTGCAGGAAATCCTACACAGACCCACACCATGCAGTCAGGTAGGCAATTCATTTATAAATAAATCGCACTTACTCATAAATTAGTAACGATTACAAAGTAAATACAAAAATACTTAAAGGAATTTTTGAAGGATTGTTTAATCGTCAAACTAAACTATTCCTTTCAAACAACATTCATCATTAAAAAACAGTGACACCACCGGAAAGGTATATTTGACACAGCAATCAGTATAATAATGCTTCCTTCCGCGATACTACTTTATGAAACGCAAAAACGTTTTTTCCAGTAACAGTGAAACATTTTATCGGATACTAGATGAAACGCTATGTATCTTCATTATACATTAAATGTTAAATAATTATAATGAAATTATATAAAAATATTAAACTTTTTAATTAGATATGTCACGAATTCAGTCAAATTTATTTGAATCAATTAGTTTATAATATTTTTATCTTTTATTATAGGGAATTTACAGGCCCTCATGAAGGATTTTGGTATGTATTCTGCAAATTTAATCGATTCCCGCCTTTCGTAAAATGATGAACATTGGAAATGATTTATTAAAGACATAATAAATTTAATGACATTTTTAAATAATTTAATATATTCTGAACTAGTTTTAACATTTTTTTAGTATTCGGTGTTCGAACATGGAAAGCAGCATATATTGCTTAATATAAATGAAATACACTTTGAATTTCGAGTTCTTATGCTCTAACTTTCATAGAATTTCAATTTACACGAATTTTTTGTTGCAGGAGGAAATTTTCTACAGAAAAAGAAGACTTTAAGTAAGTCATATATTATTTTCATTCGTAGATCAAAGGACTTGAAATTTGTCGTAAATGACCATTTTTATCTTGTTGTTCTTGCATACAGATTTAATTAAATAATATCTATATGCCTGTGATATTTATAATTTAATCCGTACTTTGAAATGACAGTGACATCACAGGCAGTATTTTCTGAGATGATAAGGAAAAAAAAAACATATGTTTAATTTGTTTTCATTTTGTGTTGCCGAATATTTTCTTTAAATATGAATTTTGCATTGCAAAATCGCTTACACAGTTCCACATGAAGGAGCATAGAAAGTTATGCGTTCAATTAAATAATTCATATTATTAATAAATCCCTAAGTACGTTGAATTGAGTGGTATCTATGTAGCACACAACAGCACTCTTATGCTTATTGATTTTAAAAACAGGAATAACTACTTTAATAAGATGGAAACAGTTTCGAGAAATATGAACAAGTTCCGTTCATCTCCTGTTCTGAAACCAAAGAAGCGAAAATAACTCTCATTAACAACAACAACATCAATAATAATAGTAATGTATATGCTCAGTTTAATTTTATTTCTTGAATTCCTAGTATAATTTCAACTTATAAACGTATTTTGGTGAAAAGTACTATTAGAATGCACTCTCATGTTCACAGCTTAAACGTACAACGAGTATTATAATTATTATTCGCTTTTACAAATATATGTAAACAGTTAGGAACCAGTTCTGCCAATTAAAAATTCAAATAAATAAAATTTTGAATTGCATTTATAATTAAATATGTCATAACAGGTATAAGATGTGGTAAAGTTAATATCTCGACTGCTAGCACTAAGCCTTCATTGCTTACATTTCCACAAAAACGAAACGTCTTATATATCCTAGAGATTCATTTACACTTTGTTATTTCGAAAAAGCCACGGGTAACATTTTAAACATAATACATTCTGTAAATACTTTCGGAATTTGCGCACAGAGATATTATGAGTTTTGCTGCATACTTTCATGAGGATGTTATTGTGCAATTAGAATCCGTGCATTTAG